AACCCACAACCCAACATAACCCCCCAACCCACAACATAACCCCCAACCCCACAACATAAACCCCCAACCCACAACATAACCCAAACCCCACAACATAACCCACCAAACCCAAAAACATAACCCACAACCCCACAACATAACCCACAACCCCACAACATAACCCACAACCCCACAACATAACCCACAACCCCACAACATAACCCACAACCCCACAACATAAAACCCCCAACCCCACAACATAACCCACAACCCCACAACATAACCCACAACCCCACCCAAAATAACCCACAACCCCACAACATAACCCCAACCCAAAAACATAACCCACCCAAACCCCCAAATAATCCCAACCTCATAACATAATCCACAACCCCACAAAATAACTCACAAACCCACAACATAACCCACAAACCCCACAACATAACCCACAACCTCACAACATAACCCACAACCCCACAACATAAGTCCACAACCTCACAACATAACCCCCAACCCCACAACATAATCCCCAACCTCAAAACATAATCCACAACCCACAAAAATAACCCACAACCCACAACTAACCAAACTCACAACATAACCCACAACCCAAACAAACCACACCCCAACATAGTCAACAACCTCACAACATAACCCACAACCCCACAACATAACCCACAATCCCACAACATAACCCAGAACACCACAACATAACCCACAACCCCACAACATAATCCCCAACCTCATAACATAATCCCCAACCCCAACAACATAACCCACAACCCCACAACATAAATACCCAAACCTCATAACTAATCCACAAACCCAAACAACATTAACCCACAACCTCACACATAACTGTTATCACTGTTCTTACTGTCTGAACAGCGGTTTTAGTGCGATGAAGGTAGCGTAGGTAGCAATGATACGGCCGTGGACTACTTTGGCTTTAATTGGGTAGGAGTGAGTACACAACGGGCAGTGTGAGGGAGTGACCACAAGCCAGTCCCTGGAGGGGGAACCTTGTGTCTATCAAGTCGGTCGGCCTAGGAGTGAGGGCCATGGGCTCAGCCTCAAATGAGTGGCGGTGAGCCTACAGAGGGGCCAGCACCTAAATGGCCGCGAATATGAACTAGGTCAGAGCAGACCGGCTAGGCTGTGTGTTCTGACTGTACAGGCTGTCTACATTTGCTCGGCCACGCCACACTCGCGTCGTCCGACGCGACAATACTGGTGGGCCCACAGGGTATAAAAGGAAATTACTTACACTAGCTACCCCAGAGAGGGACTGCTTTCGCTCACTAGTAAATCAAAAATGGACATAAAAATGCAAAAGGCAAAAAAAAAAAACTTCCCATGCTAGGGGAAAGAAAACCTGGTTTGCCCGCGCTGTTTCATTGAGGAGAGAGTCGGAGACTCAGCACTGGAACTAAAAGCTTCTATATACAGGTTGTTCGCAGGGACCTCTGAACATCAGTTGACACTCGTCTACGAACGAGTTGCACCCCTCACATCTGCAAACATGACTGACTGTAGCATTTCCTAAGGTGTGACATTTGACTCAGAGGGCAGCATTGCCCTGACCGTTAATACAGGCTCTCTTTTTTTTATGTATAAAAACAACTGGGTGCTCATACCTACAATAATCTATATCCATGGAATTCATTACACTCTGGGAACCCTTCAAAAAAGTATTTACATAATTACATGGTTGTCCACTCTGACTAATTATCGACTAGCTATACAATGTGTGTGCATTTATACCCATTTCTGCAAGCAAACAATAGCATACTAGGCGAAGGAGTCAGGACAGTAGTGGTACGACCAATGTCACAGAAATGTACTGTTGTCCTGGGTCGAGGCCATAAGTATGGAGACTTACTGGGCCGTCTTCCATACAGTGGTAGTGGGCGAGAGAAGGGATAGACGGGGTTTGTCCCGTGCATTAGTTGATTGTGGCATTGCAATGCACGGAGACTCCAGCTCTGGCTTCGGCCCTGCACCATGCGTCAACATTACTCCATGTGTTCAAGGTGGGCTTCCTTGATAGTTCCCGTAGCATATCTCCTCACCTCGAACTTATTGCCATGGAGCTGGTCGTAGGACACGGTAAGGACCCACGAAATTTGGGACAAGTTTGTGGCATACCTGGGGTCTGCGCTGAGGTTGAGCAACATAAACTTTGCAACCCTGGTGTCCACTTTGTTTACCTTGGCGCGGCATTGCGCTCAGACGTGAAAACCTATCAGTAGCTTTCATTAATCAGGTCTCTCTTACCCGCTGAAGACATGCTGCATTGTCCTAATCTTTCTACCACTGGGTTTATCGTAATCGTAAGTAGGTCTAGGTGGATGCAAACATATGGTAAGAGCTTGTCATAGCCATACAAAGCGAAATGAGGTCGTCTTACCGATCGAGCTGTTGAGGGAGGAATAATGTACACTGAACATCTGGGATAGGCCCCATCCCATGTAGTTTAGTACAACTTGGTTAACGGTTAATCTGAGCACTCCAGGACTTTGCGATTTGCTACGTCAGCAAGGACCATTACTCGCAGGGTGGCGTGGAGCTTACTGGCGCTTGGTGAATGGTTTTGAAAGCTGGAGCAAGATCCTGCATTATGCCATTTATAAACTCAGACCATTGTCTGACAGGGAACACGTGGGCAAGTATGACGAGAATCAACATGCTCACGGAAAGCACTAGCGACGTTTCGGCGGTATTATCAGGAATGGGTACTTATTCACTTGTTACACCGTCAAGTTATTACCATTAAAGCGGTGCTTTTTCCCTTCTCCGAAGTCGAGAAGTTCGTCAACAGGTTCGACAAGTAGTTCTTCCCAGGGCTCCTTTGTAATGGGATACTTTAGAATGGGGTTAGGACCTGTAATGGTAACCTTGTGCTGTAGGCAAACAACCACACTGGTGTAACATGCTTGGCAATGTCCGCTGCCATCTTAGGCCCAGATTATTTCATTCGTGGCCTGTTTGATACTGCGGTCCTTCCGGGGTGCGGCTACACCTGGGACATCGTGGATCTACCTAAGGGTAGCTGGTATCATGGGACTCTGGTACACAGTTGGTATATAGTCTGCCGGGGGTCCACCAGCTGTGCAAACACGGCAAACAGTACTCCTTGGTTGACCACTATATCCTTCAGTGGAATGGGAGACTTGACCTGTAGTCAAACGTCCTCTTGGCAGGGGGAAACGAAGGGACTGGAGACCACACAGGGTCCTGTCGTTGGGCTCTCTCGAGATCCTCAACAGAGAACGAGGGTTCCCGACACTCACGAATGCTATATGCCTCGACAGGGCATCAGCTACATCATTTTAGCTTGCCTGGGACATATAGCCAAAATTTCAGGGTTGTAGTCATTGAACGTGAGGACCACCGAGCATGCTTTCCCGAGAGGTTTTATTCGCAAAAAAGGGCCAATATGGGTAAATGATCTGTGTAAATCTTGATAGGTAATGATAGATGATATCCCGAAATTGACTCAGGGGGCCCATACAATGGCTAAAGCTTTAGCTCTGTCACTGAATAATTGACTTCCGCTTTTAGTAAGGACACGGCTAGCATAGGCAATAGGCTGTTGCTTATACCATTAGATCCTGTGACAAGACTGCACCGATGCCAACTTTGCTGGCTCCAGGTCGTCAAGGTAAATGCCTTGGGAATCAGGGAATCTAAGGGTTGGGGCTGCTGATGTTAACATGTTTTTAAGAGGGACAAAAGCTCGTTCATGACCACACGTTCACTCAAAAGGGGGCATCCTTCTTGAGAGTAAGCGTGTCAGGGGTGCAGCAATCGCAACGTGGAGAAACTGCGATAAAGGTGCGGTTTAGAAACCCGCCAGGCCTATGAAGGACCGGACTGCATCCGCCTCCGTCATGGGTTCTGGGAATTTCTGCACGTCGAGAGATTTTAGGACTCGTCCGTCTTTTATGCCCATTCTGAGTCACTACGTGACCCGAAATTTTATTTCCTTCCGGAGCGGAAATGACATATGGAGAGCTTTACCTTAAGATTTGCCTCGAGCTAGCCTGTCCAATACACTGTCATGTTTCTCAAGATGTGACCGGGAATCTTGCGCATATGACTTATGAGATCATCCAGGTAGACCATGGGTGCCACCTAGGAGGGTACGGAAAAATTGTCGTCACATCAAACGACCTAAACGTGATTGGGCTTCCGTGCAAGCCGAAAGGGCATCCTCCTGAACTGGTAATGACCAGTTGGGAGTAGAGAAAGTTGTCAACTCTTTGCTCTAATCATCGAGGGGGGGATCTGCCAGAACCCTTGAAGATGCATAAGAGTTGAAAAGACCATTATTAATTCCGATGTTCTGCAACAGGGTCGTTCAGAACTGGCAATGGAAAGCGGTCTGGGATGGTACATTGATTCAGCTTTCTGGTAAATCGATAAACCAGGGGCGCCCGGTTCCATCTTTTCTTGGGGACCAGAGAATAAGGGGAGCATTCCACGGGGGAAGGGAAGGTGGACTCTCAATAACTCCATCACGGAGCCATCCGTGTATGAGTTCTTCGGCGAAGACTCTTTGCGCATGTGGCAGGTGATACGCAGGTACGTAAATGGGTTTAGTACCTTTGTCAAGTGGAATACGGTGGGAGAGATTCAGTGGGGGTCAATCCCACTGCTCACCATATAGTGCGACTGCCTGAATCGTGCACGATTGAGAACATGGAGAAGTTTTGGGACCTCTTCAGGATAGTCTGTCCAAAGCTAGATCATCTTCCTGCACTGGCCGGGTGTTTGGAAGAGTCAGGCAGTGCAGACTTCGTGGGAGACATGCCACTCACAAGGAAATAGTCAGCTGGGGCTTCACCCTTCCACTCTTACGGGAGAGGAATCTGGACTAGGTCGAAAGTGAGGTATTCTTCCGCCAGGGGTAATTTCTCGACTATGCATGTTGACAAACAAAGGACTTGAAACCTTACCACGTTGCACTGTGTGCAAGATGGTTCAAGGGTGAGGCCCTTGACTCGGCAGTGTCGTTGTCAACCAGGCACATGGTCTCCTTTCAAAGCTCTGCTCACGTACACCGTAACAGGAAGTGAGCGATTAGCTCGACAAAGTGACGTCATACTTTGTACAAGCAGTAACTCTTGCTCGCTGATGCCCATGACACGAGTCAGACAGTCGCCTGCGACAGGGATACTGTGGCCTGACAACTGCTGTTTCTCTACAAACAGATCAGAGTTAGTTGTGAGGGTTAGACTGGCGTCCCAGACTGGGTTTCACTGGTAACTAAAGCGCTGATGGCAGGAGGTGACGGGCCAACGAGCCTACTACGAGGTCGATCAGGACAAGAGGACCGAACCCCGGGGAGAATGTGCTATGGAAACACCGGTTTTTCCAACGATTCCAGGCACCTGTGCATACTCTGAGACAGAGTAGCACGTTGTGGGATCCTAATGCGCACGCCCCAGAAGGGCACACCACTCCATTGAATTCTGCTTTCCACTCAGCTGGATCTAAGTGGATTCTAAGGTCTGCCCTTGGTTTTGAACCCTATGAGCAGGGGTCACCATGGAAAACATACTATCGGACGACCAAGAATTTTGCGGGACAGTTGTGACCCTGGACTGCAATTCTAACGTTGTACGACCACGAACCCGTCAGCGGATTACCTGAGACTCTCTTCAAGGTCTGAATGGACAGACGGCTCTGTCAAACTGGCCGCGTGAGGGCCAATGTCTCGGGAAAAGAGTGGAGCGGACAGTTTATCCACCGAACCTGTATCTAGGAAAAGCTGGACAGCTTAGGTGGGACAGTGGACTCGATGGAGCGGGTCCACACGGTTTGTCATACCGAACATGGAAGGCATGACAGGCCGACGAAATCCCCTGAGTCACGCTGCCCCTTGAAAGGCTCGACGCTTGTTGACGAGGCCTCGACCCCTGGAAGGTACGTACGAGTCTCGGCAACAACGTCAAGACACTCTGTTTCCTCACTGTACAGCAAGCGATCACTGCCAGGGCGACGAATGCATTGCAGGACAGGGATGATACAGCGACCTCGACAGGAGTTACTATGTCTTTCATGGAGTTTGTGGATGCGCCTCTTCCCCCGAAACTAGTTGAAGGGCTTCTACGAGCACGTGTATTGGCGCAACGACTGCTTTGCTCACTCAGTGACAGCATACTTCGCACTTGTGACACTCATGGGAGGTTATGACTCTGGACAGTATTGTTCGTCATACAGACTCCCTTGCGAGACTGAGCATGGGACGGTGAGGTTACTTTGATTACTGAGCGTGGGGTCGGTTACGGTTTCTTTGATACTGAGCGTGGGGGACGGTTGACGGTTACTTTCTCGGGGACTTAGGGTTTGTATCACCTCGATCGGTAGTTGCCCGCATTTCCCACAGTTGCAAACAAGTCACACGCACTTAGTAGGTTGAGGTTGGAGGGGTTGTTTTGTGGCGGACGTTGTGCCTTGGTCCTCCAGGAGGTCGATGACTGCTTTTTTGTATGAGCTGACTGTTGTTACTGTGGGGTCAATATTTTGACTTGGGCGAGTCGTTAGTGGGACTGGGGTTTAGAAAACTTTGTGGGTTGGCTGTCTGACAGCAGCTTGCAAAAGTGACTTCCGGCTGGCGACCGCGGGGTTCACTGTGGACGGCGCCGGAAGGAATGGGCCTTGGATCATCCCGCCAAAGCGACAAACCTTGCCTTGCCGGGCAGGCGGAGCTTGATCGCGTCGTGGCATCATATGCACCCAGAACGTCGTGCTGAGAGGCCGAGTCCTAGCGCATTCAATGGCACCTCGGGAGGTTCGGGGGGGCATCCCTCACATGATGCCTACAGCCAAACATGGGGAGGGTGTCTTCAGCTTTAATACAGTTGTCACCATTCACCCACTTAGTGAGCTGATGGCATCAGTAAAGTCTTTGGGCGCTTGCTCAAAACGGAAAATGCAAGCCAGGGGGCTTTCATTGCCCGGTATTGATTCGGCCAAGGACGCTGGTAACGATTGTCAATGTAATGGCGTTGGCGGGCTACGCCGAAAAAATAACGCCTAAATTCCTCCTTAAGTTCGTCCCAAGACTGAATCTTACAAACGCGATTGAGCTGCACAAAGGCACCTATATCATCCCGGGTGAAGATCCACTGCTGCAACAGCAGCACGAATGTACAGTGTTTCCGTGGGACTATCAAATAGAGCCTTAACAGTCGTCTCGACTGACTTGCAGCATGGCCTCTAACCTATTTGACGACCGTCAAGTAAAGAAGGGGTCGGGTCTATGGACGAAGTAGACGGGCCACTGGTGGTCGAGACTTGAGCCACAAGTTTACAAATGTCAAGGGGGCTTCGATGCCCTGCCACGTGTTCACGCTAGTGAGGCACCATTGCTGCATCAGCAGAATCTGGATATTGGTACGGCCACTTGCGTTGTCTGAGATAGCTCAATGACGTCAATTGTTCAAACGCAAGCAGGTCACGAAGAGGGTAAAACAGGTTTCAGAGCAAGAAATGTGGTATGCACATGGGGCTACAAATTCAACACAGAGTCAGAAGAAGAACACAGCACCTCAGGTACTAGGTAAACTGCTTAGTGATGGAAAATAATTGAGCAAAACAACAAACCAAAAAAAGTGTACACTCTGAAATACAAAATAAGAGATGTATGCAAGAGAATGAAACTCAGGGAAGTGCACCCTAAATGAAGCTAAGGGTGCGTCAATAAACTTCACCAGGAGCTGGCAACAAAATTTATGAAAAGGAAGAGAGTTGAACTGTAAACACTGGTAGCAAAAAAATTGCACAAAATTTTAAAATAAATAGGTACTACCCAATACTAAACTGTGCTGCAAGCACGGTTTAAAAATATTGCAGGTGCTAGCAGTTGCAAACTGGAATGCAAAAAAAAGGTAATTCACTTGCACAAGGGAAATGTGGCACAGCAAAAAGTATGAGAGTATGGGATAAGTGCCAAAAAATCACTGAAAAAAAAATACACTGTATCAAGAAAATGCTATATTGCACACAAAATAAAATTATTAAAATGCAAAAATTATTAAATTCAAGAATAGGGCAAAGGTTAACTGGTGTTTAGCAGGTGTACACTGGTGTTAGCAGGGTTTGTACCATTGTGTTAGCAGGGTGTACACTGGGGTTTAGACAGGGTTGTACATGGTGGTTTAGCAGGGTGTTACACTGGCAAAAAAAAAAATAAAAAATTTCACACTCTCAAGAACAAAATAATGAACTTCACAAGTAATTTTGCGTAATTAATGGGTAAATAAGCAGGTTCCCAAAATGCAATCAAGACTTGGGTATACAAAATAGCAAAATGCAATGGCACCATAGGTGAATATACACGATAAAACATAGTTAGAATATATGTAAAAGCCAAATAAATGGGGAAAAGGAGAAAAGTTGGTAATGGGCCTAGGCACAGATTGTATCACTGCAGGTACGAATAAACTAATACTTAAGTTACTTGAAGATTACACTTATTTAAGTAGAAAAGTTCACACTAACAAACAAAACAGTGCAGGGTTATTGTCAACAATCTGTGGCTAACTTGCAGGTGCAACTAACAAAATTAACAGCCACACAGGAAATTACTTGCAAACTAGTTGTGTGAGAGGTAAATTGTATAAATGGTTACATGACAATTTAAATCAAAAACTGAGGTGCAAGATGCGATAAATACTAGAATTTTTAAAATGTAGGAGTGCAAAATAAAATGTACAAAATTTAAGAAGCTGTAGGTAAGTGGCAATTGCACTGAGACACTGAACAATTTTACTGAAGTATGGCTTCAGTAACTGTAACTGTATTGGTGCAGGACAGTTAAGTAATGTCACAAAATATTAGGGGAAACTGACTAGGTAGTCACTGTTTACTTAACTTTGAGTGCAGGAGATGGACGAAGGTACTGGCACGGTGCTGCAGGTCCTGGAACTTTCAGTGACCCTGCTCTTCTAGTGACCACTACACGCCTCGTAGCATTTGTACACTGCTATGGGATTCAATGTCGTAGGAAAAAAAAATTATCAGGAATGGACTTGGGAAGAACAGGAAAAAGACCGGGGTTACTTGTGGAGGTATAATTATGAGAGAAGAAACTGGCTAACCAGCGTGAAGCCAAGCCACAGCTGTGCATATGTTTGTTTACACTGGTAAGCGTGTCTGGGCACGCTGACTGACTGCGGCCTTCGCCCACGGAGAATAAAACATTTACTGCACACTACTCGAACGTGCTAAAACAAAGCTTAAGTGAAACTATGAACTGGGAACGAGTAAGTTTTACTGTAACAAATCACTGGGGAAAAACAGAATGGGATGAAATGGTAATGTAACAGCAAGGGAAAAGAAAAAACAAACAAAAAATTTAAACTGGGCAACACAAAAAAAGACTGCACTGGCTGGAGATACGTAGGACGCTGAGTTAGTTGTAGACACAATGATTGAGTCACGAGCTGCTGTAGACGGCGTGGGGGCTGAACTAAGCTGGCTTAGGGGCTAAGCCAATGGGTTTCCCACGTGGTTAAGCCAGGGTAGAACTTCTTGGAGGAAAACTGGAAAAGACACAACACACATGGACGGCGAGATGGACGTCGTCGTATTGCGTAGCAGAAGAAGGCTTGTAGAGGAGGCTGGTGTGTATACCACGCTGATTAGGGTATAAACCAACCCCAGAGCTGCCTCCGTTTGGTTTCACGCCGTGGAGCCACACGAAAGCCAACACACTAAACGACCTCACCTTACTTCTTGTAGCTGAGAAGGGGTAGGGACGCTGTAGGAGGCAGGAGAATGTGCTGGAGAGTGTTGAAGGGGACCTGTAGTGTTTGAGAGGGGTGATTCGTGAACACGTGGGGACTGCTTAAGGCTGGAGATGGACGCCGTGACGCTCTTATGTCCAAGAATTTGTGGGAAAAAAATCTAGGACGAAGATCTATCTCATGGTCTCGTTTTAAGATGCTGGGAGAGTGAGTAACAGATAAACTCTTTGGCCAGCAGTTGCGTTGGATGACGACGGATGTGGTTTTTTTGACTGGCGTCGACCGATGGTGTTGACCCCCTCCACCCTGAAGAGGCTCACAATGCCGTTGACTCGCTGTCACCATGTGTTATTGCTGTTCTTACTGCTGAACAGCGTTTAGTGCCGATTGGAATGTAGCGTAGGTAGCACTGATACGGCCCCGTGTGGACTACTTTGGGCTTTAATTG